TTGATAAATGCTTTGAATCAACGAAACTGCCTGTAAATGTACTGTATACGTATTACATCAAGAGCAATGTATAATTTTGACGGTTCACCACAAATTAGCTAAATCTCATTTTGTTACAATTTATTTAAGGTTCCTTGTTATAGTTTATTTAAATACTCAAATTAATCAACTACACATAGCCTAGGATTAAGGTTTGGTTAATTGTGTGTAATTATGCATAATTTACTGTTATTAGTATAAGTGGGCTACATATAGCATGTGTTAACAGATACATGGAACATAACATGTTACAAGGACATAAATTAAACACTTTATAATAAAAAAGTGTTACTGCTACTATTCAAAGTGTGATCAGAGGGCTATGTGAACTTTAACCCATCCCTTCCTTTCCTCATTTTCATCTCCCATCATGGCTATCAATAGCCAGGCTATATAGTCATACAATTTCTATTTATATAACAGCAGCCTCTTATCTCATGAGCCACATTTTTTATTTTTATATATATATATTTCATTAAACCTCAGCAAGTAGCCTAGCCTGACCATTTATAAGCTGATCTTCTGAAGCCTACAGTAGCCTATCATGTCCCGTAAAAATGTACACAGGGTGGCTAAGCTGACTATGAGTAAAAATGACTAAAACATCATCAATGTTTAATTTACCTGTACGACTCGTTTGCACTGCAAGGTGGCAGCCCTGCTCTTCAGAAAATCTTCCAGGTTCCTCACATTGTTTGGGTTTCTTGCCTCTTCTGCATATTTGAACCCTTTTCAACAGTGATTTTGAGGACAATTGAGGGGACAACCGTTAGTTCAAGTTTTTCCCATTTAGCACTGCCCTTTAGAATCTACATGAGATATTTACATTTCCCCAAAGACAAAATAAATGTAATTTATCCTGATACTCTATAAAAAGGAGTTAATGCATATTGTAAAAAAATAAATAAAATAGTTACACCAAAGTTCACGTCCACCCCTGCACATACCTGCAAGAGTTTCATATCCAAAATGTGAGTGTTTGCGCATACTCCAGCTCTCACTGTGTTGGGTGTGTGTCAATAAATAACCGAGTCGAGTGCAAAGAGCCTATTATGCAAGTGGCACTGGTGGAATTCAGATGTGTGTGGGAACTAAAAGATGAAGATCTTACTTTATGTGTTTTTCATCTTATTTTTTACTGAAGAGGCAACTGGACAGACTCCAGGTGAACACCGTAAGTGTGTGTTCAAAAGAAGGCTCAAAAGTGGTTGTGTTGTATCTTTTTAAAATGTAATCATGATACATTAGTTGTAAGCTAATACTATAGTTTGTGTTCTTCAGCTGTCTGTCTGAATGTCGAAGACTTCGATTCATGTTTGCGCAATGATCTGCAGTGTGATCTGAAAATTAGCAGATGTAGCTGTGTCGAGAAACAGCCATTCTGTCGGTAATTTACCTTTAGTACTCTAGTCTGCTCTGCAGTTTAAACTTTTGCTTGTTTTGAGATTCACCCCTTCTGTTTTCTGTGTAGGTGCAACAGTAAAGAAGGTGAGTTTTACATTGATGAAAACTGTTCTCAGAGATGGACAGTAGTGACCTTTGCCCTGGTGGCATCTCTGCCCGGCCTCACACTTGCTGTGTTGGTGGGGGTGATTGTTTATGTGATGATGCTGCAATCAAAGAAGAGCCACACAGGGTGAGAATGAAAAACACAACTCTAGCTTTAATGGAGATAATAATTGCTTTATTGATTTTGAAAAGCATATGGTACATGTCTGTCTAACTTACATATAGTCTGACTTTATAAGGTTAATTAAGAAATATGACCTACAGCCCATGATGCTCTAAAGTAATTATTTTGTGTTACGCCTAACAAGTAATTCATTCTGTCATTTTGTGCATGTGTGTGTGTTTGTGTCCAGTGGAAAAATGAAGACACCCTTCCCTGGAATGAATTCAGCTTCTGATATGAATGTGAGTAGGCTTAATGTGTCTTGTGGTGAAAAACAGTTAATGATTAATAGTAACACTAGGCTACCATAATCTTAATCAGAAATGTGAAACCATCTGGTAATACCTTTGAACGTCATAAAATCAGCACAACAAATCATAAACAGAGCATCACACAGATATATCAACTTCCTGAATGGTCTGCCAACTATTAAGAATGCATATTTACCTTTTTTTTCTGCCTTTTGTCTTGCTTTCAAAGGGTCAACCTCCCCCTAACATGAGACCTGTACAACAAAATCCCATTCCCATGACAGCCTTGTCCAACAGGCCCAATAGGTGAATTTTAACCCTTCTGATGAGGATTATTATTATTTCAAGGCAATACACTAAACCATTGTTTTTGCACTGTTAATGCATTTTTATTCCATAACAATCCATTTCGGTGAAAAGAAAACTACAAATCCAAAATACACATTTAAGTGATTATTTTGTTGGCAGCATGACTGCATTTTGGCATTTTTATGTGTTGTTGTTCTCCATTGATACAACACTAACTCTCAGATAATCTGGCACATTTAGCATATAATTAGAATCAAATAACATTGTTGCATGTACTGTAAATGCTTATGAGACTGAAGAATTAAATAATTTGTTGATTCATGAAATTTACATTGCCTCCACAGTATGTACAATGGTATGCGTGATCCTACAATGGGAGGTCCTCAACAGCCCTACAGGTAATTCTATTATTAATTATAATATAAGCTCATACAGTTTCACAACAGACTCTCTGGCAAAATATGCTGTCTGTGTGTCTCTGTGGACCAAAAGGGAATTTCATTTGCATGTCATGTCCTTGTGTTTAATTCAGTGATTTTTGTGATTGTAGCAATGGAGCAGGTCGGGGTCAGATTGTTAAAAACCCTTATGCAAGAGATTCATCCAGCCGAAATCCCTATGAAGACCACAGCCCTTCGGCAGAGCACAACCATTACAGGCCACATGCCCCTTCAAACACATATGAAGACCTGGTATGGTTCACAAATGTACCAAACATTTTAATTTCAGGAAGAGATTGGTAAACGTTTATAATCTTCTTTTTCTTTTTTTTCCATGGCACCAGAGAGCCTATTATGGTGCATTATACAACACATGAGCAATTTAGAAGCTTGTTCTGATAAGAGAATATGAGCTCACTGTGAATGATCAAAGGTCTAATTCTCCTGCTCTTAATTGCTCCGACAGACACAGAACCGGACCTATTCTCCTGCTCCACTCTACGGTTCTTCCGATCAAGGAAACCTCCGCAATGGATTCCCACGACCCCAATTAAACCTACAATTATAGAGCTATTTTTTATTTATTTACATCTAATCATTATTGGATCTGATCAATTTTGTCATTATTTCTCAAGGTTAAATTTAATTTGTGGCTCTTTTTATAGTAATCATTAACATTTATTCATTTAGCAGAAGCTTTTATCCAAAGTGACTAACAAATGAGGAACGCAACAAGCGATTCATCTCAAGTTTCAAACATCATCCAGAATTGAACATGCAGGAACCGGTTGAGAAACGGTGAAAGCACAGCAGAGTGTATTTATTGTCTAATGAAATAAAAATAAAAAAAGCTTAAAAGTGTTGCCAACGTGTGCTCTATACTCGAATAGTATTTATGTTTGTCCTGTAATATAAGGTTTAGATATACAGCGGTGTGCAAAACTATAAAATTACTTTGGAAAAAGAAAACCCTTGACTTTCATTTAAACATGCAAATAAAGTTTTAAGATTTTGAACATGAAAAATAAAAAAGTTATACAATTATACTATGTGCCACACAGGATATTGAACGGGAAGATGAGCATGAAGAGTTTGCTGAACTGCGATTCACAAAAAAAATCAAGCAATCAGACTCCTGAGGTGAGCCTCATGTGACCTGGGCTGAGTTATTGCAATAACAGACAGTATTTATAATATGGAATAACTATACACTTAAGTGCAAAAATTTGAATTTATATGCCAATTACCAGGAGCAATTAGCCTGACTTCGCCATATCAGAATGGGTCAAATTATGAGTCTGAGACCGCTCCGCTAGGGCTTTGATTATGAGGCGTGAAAAAAAAAAACCTCTGCACTCAATTGGATAGTCGGACAGACCTACAACCAATCAGAGCAACTCATTAAGTCAAATACTTTGCATAACATAGTTGTCAACAACAGAACTTACTTATTTTAGAAGAAGTACAAAAACGAGTTGCTTCTTTCACTTGGTCCTTCATAAGTGCGACCAAAGGAGAAACCTCAACGACCACATGCTTTTCATTACGTCCCATCTTCTTAACTTAGCGACCGTCAGAGCACTTTTGCCGAATATCTTTCCGATCGACAAATGCCTTGATTGCAGTTTTCTGTCTGTCTATTAAAATGAATGACCTGTCGATTAATTTTAAAAACAGACGAGAAACCAGTTAGCGCTCTTTGATAACGTGATGATTACGTCCCTGCAGATCACCTGTCCATCATCGTATAAAGCCCGCCCTGGCAATCTGATTGGCCCGATCATTTTTTGCCTGATCATTACTCCTCAATGGATCGAGTCCAGACCATAGACTGTAAAAAAATCCAGACCGAACTTCCCGAACAAAAAATGTTGTGGTCGGAGTTCGGGCTGGCATCCAGGCTAAAGTGCAATATCATTATGCTGCGATCAAACTCTTCAGTGCTGTATTTTAATGCACATTGTAGCATTTTTCTTATATTTTTATGAGCCAGTTAAATGACAGTAAAAAGCTGTCTAAAAAATCACACCCGCAGACGTTCACCACCCGAACATTTTTTTTTAAAGATGTCTAGCTTTAAAACATTGATTGCAACATGATTATGGTTAATTGGCCAAAATTATGGTTAAAATTCAGGAATTTAAGTGAAATTCATTTTTCAATTCAATACATTTCTCAAATTGTTATGCTGACACTAAACTTATACTGAAATGTTTCGTATTAAACTACAAAACAAATGCATCAGTAGACGTGGCAGATATATAATGTGACAGGAATAAGATAAGACTGTTAACAGATGATTTTTCTTTATGTTTACTCAAGAACAGGAGGTCGACCGTACAAAGATTTTTCCTAAAGAAAAGCAAAATTGCCTGATACAGCAATAAATAAATGTCAGAATAAAAAGGCAGTCTAAACAATTTGTTCCAATGTCCCACAGTTTCTTCAGCAATTCTGATCCACATATTAAACAGTGTCACAGATCCATGCAAGTGCTGACACTGGTTCTAATTGCTCTTGTGGAAACTTCTTCGCTGAAGTAGCTCATCTGAACCAGACAACGAGGCCTAGCAATATCTGCAAATGGTTAAAGAACATGCAGTCTTAACCGACTCCGAATCAAACAGCACATAAGGTGTAATTACGTGGGTGAAGACATCTTTCGGAGTCGACCGATTTTGACTTTAAAAGCTAACATGTACAGGGAACACTTCTGTAGAAATCTTGCACTCAAAACAACATCCATGAAAAGGCAAACATTTAATCGTGTGGGAAAGAGTGATGTGGAGCGATGCAAGGACGCCCAAACTTCCATCTCTACAGATGCCCAGGGGCTTAAGGTCTCATTTAAGATTTCTTTAAAGACATTTAAAAGAATGTCAGCTATGCTAAATCGGTTTAGAAAAAAAAGTAACCAAATGAACGAACCACTACCGCGCCACTCTCTGTTGTGTGTCCATGTCACATTGGCAGCATTGGGATGTTTATTTGTGGGAACCGAAAGGATGCGTGTGTGTGTGTGTGTGTGTCTGTGTGCGTGCGTGAGATTAAATCAGCCCATGTTCTTGCGGTTGCCATATCCTCTCCGGTGAGTGTCCTTCCAGTTGTCCCAGTCACGTGCCTTCTGCAGTGCCTCTTCGTCATCGTTCTCTTCCTTCCTCTCTCTTTCAGCTCTCTCATCCTCATCTGCCTCGCCATCTGCTGTGGAGAAAAGACAGAGGTGCTGAACTGAGTAAAAAGGCAAATCTCTCCTCAGTTTTAGTCCTATAAACTGAACACTAGGCCTGTCAGGGTTATGGATTGTTGATCTAATTGCAATTATTTGAGATGGTTTTGACAGGCCTACGGAACACTTCTAATTGAATTTAAATTAAAGACATTGATTCTATTTATAATTTTAAATAAAAGATGATGTCCTGCAAAAGCACTCATGTGTGTGTAAGCACCTGCCCTGCGTGGTATGCCCTGGTCAGGTAAACATCCTTGCCGTCGGTGTTGGTCATACCATTCATCCACTGTCATGGTGGGAAGACTGGGATATCCCTCACCAAACACTCTGCAATACAGTCAAAAAAACACACACACTAGTACTAAAGCACTGAACTCCACAGGCACACTCCAAATGCACACGTACTTCGCCTGCATAGCATCCTTAGTCAGGATAAAAGGCTTCATGGGCGGTCTTTTGGGTGGGGATGGCTGGGGGTTGCTCTACAGAGACAAACAATTATTAGTAAGGCTGTCAATCAATTCAAATTTTAAATTGTGATTAATCTTCTATGATTTTTCGCAGTAATTCAGAAGCGGATTTGCATAAACACATTAGACCGTGGCAATGAAATACCTGCTTGAAAAGCTCCATCCGTTTGAGGATCTCGATCTCCTGGTTGATGGAGTCGATCTCCTCGAGGGCTAGTGTCACCCACCTGCGCACGTGCAGCAGGTAAAAATCTCTCACCACCTCTTCATCGGCTGAACCCGATTCAACTACTCCCCTGATCTCACTCAGCTTGGCTTCTGTCTCCTTACGCTGATTAAACCTGGAAACAACTTAGTGTAAACATGCCACATGTTTCCACAAAAATATTAAGCAGCACAACTAGTTTACGACATTGATGATAATAATAAAGTGTTTCTTGTGCAGCAAATCAGCATATTGATTTCTGAAAGATCATGTGACACTGAAGCCTGGAGCAACATTTGCTGAAAATTCAGCTTTACCATCAGAGAAATAAAATATATTTAAAAAAAACAACAACATAAAATGACATGTTAAATTTAAAATTACATAATTAAAAGAATATTTCATTTTCTTTTACATTTTTTTCCAATCAAATAAATGCCTTGGTGAGCATAAGAGACATTTAAAATGATCTTACCGACCCCAAGCTTTTCAACAGTAGTGTATATAATATTAATAAAAAATGTTATTGGTGTACCCTGGACATAAATACATGCATGTTACCAAATTCAATCCCAACCAACCTCTCGATTTTGGCCTGTCTTTGTGTTGCCATGGCGATAAGGTCTGGCTGTGACATTGGCAATGGCACTGATGGATTTGTGCACTCCTCAGTAGGAGTATCTGTTGTGTTCTCACTGGCTCTGGGCAGCTGAAAGCTACATACGTCATAGTCCTTGCACCTCTGGAGGAAGTCCCTGAAGTAGACGTGGGCTGCCTGCACATGATCCAGCCGCTTGCTGGGGTTCACTTGTTTCATGGTGAGCGCTCCCAGTAGAGCCGGCAACAGAAGATACTTCAGGTCGGTTGTAGAGATCTCCTCCAGGGCCTCATTATGACTACCAAAAAATAAAATTCAATTAATACAGCACTTCAGAAAGTTTTACATGGGCTGTTTCATAGGGACCAATTTATTTATTTGAGCATTAGAGCAATACATTAACATTACTTGCTTGTAATATCTCATGTGACGTATCAGTGATATCATGAATATCTCAATCCAAATAAGAAAACCAATGTCGTCTTTTCAGAGTATAACGGAGCACACAGCCGAGTAATACAGTAGGAATTGGGCAACAATACAACTAGTTTTGCAGATTAATGTACTTTTCTGTTTACCACTATAAGTTACAGTAAAACTAAAACGCACATTGATGACTAGACGAAAAAAAAAAAGCTCCCATCATAATCAGCACTTCGCTCGCTTGTAGTGCTTTGACCTCAACATTTATTATAAAATAAGCATTTGAAATAATCGTTTCGAGTGCGTGTGTGTGTGTTGTTCTATCTAACCTGAACAGGTTCAGCTGATTGACCATCCTCGTCGCCTCCTCCAGTTGCCCGATGGCGCGCTTCACTTTCACCTGCACCGCGGTGGAGCTGCTCGACTCGTTCGTGGTGTCCACCTCATCATACAGCTTCCAGCCTCGATCCAATAAATCCGACAGCTTAGGAGCATCTGAACCACTGGGGTTTTGTGTACTGTTTGTGTCTTCAGCAGCCGCCATTTCTCAAAGCGTTTTTAAGACCCAACTCGGCTTCCGTCTTTTCCTGTTCTCAGCGTTTGTATCCGGTCGGTTTCTAGATGCCGCAGTTCTGACGACTGACTGTGGATGTCAGCAGAGATCAGTGCTTATAATAGCCTAAGTTACCTCTTTAGATAACAAACAGATGTGATCATCATTAGCATTGCAATAAATAAATGTGAAATTTGTATAAAATAATATAAAATGTAATTCAACTTAACTTAATAGCATATTAGTTGCATATAATTTACAGTTTTAAGGCATTCATTTATAGATAGGCTAGTTTAAAATAAGAAGTGCCACAAAAATTTGGAGCAACTTACATATGTTTGTGTAAATAAAACTTACCTATAATGAAAATATTATTAAAGATTCACAAAATTCAGCCTTTTTGCATAGAAATACCAAACTTTACAATGTGAAATAAAAAAATCAGCTATTTATAACAAACCACTCATACATTCTGTCCCAAAGTGCCTAAGAAAATCAATTAACTAAAAAGATGATCCTGAGATCTTTTTGAAAAATGTTCAAAATTACTCTTAAAAGTTCACTTCATTAATTGTTTTGAAGTAACTTCATTTAAAATATTTAATTATAATTTTGATGGTCAGCATTCTTATAAAACATTTATTTTAACAGGAAAAGGGAAATATTCTTTTGTAATTATTGTGACCTAAAAAAAACACATTGTTTTTACATTTGCCATTATTGTCTAGATTAGAAAAAGAGTTGAACCCTTCCCTCATCTGAATGTGTTTACAATTATTTTAAATATGAGTTTACCAGGACAGTATATTTGTAACATCCCATCGTTTTTATGCATAAACAAGAAAAAAAAAGACATTTAGGCAAAACAAATTCCAATATCTTATGCAAAAAACAAACAAACAAACAAACAAACAAAAAAAAAAAAAACCTCTTTACAAAATGTGCTTTTTTCACAATGCAAAAACTACTTTCCCAACCTGAATTTTTCACTTGTTCTCCTCTGGACAGTATATTGACAGGATATTCAGGAGTTCCCACACATATTTTCATTTATCGAAAGGCTAACTTTACACAGTGAAAATATTCAGAAAAATCATTGCTCCTTAGTTTGCGTGTAAAAAATGTTTTGCATGTAAAACACCTGGTCTTTTTCTGTCAACATGACCATTCTGATCTATATCTTAAAAAAAATCTAAGTAGGAAAAGATCTCCCACAGGTCCACTCAGTTTTCATTTTAGAAAGCTTTCCACCCAGTATAAACATAGACCTGTGACAAAATTAGCATTAAGAAACCATTTGTCTCTGTGGTCTCGGTCACTGTATGCATTACCGTGTGCTGGATTATTTGTTTGTGTGAGTGTATGAGTGCAACTTAACACATACGGCTGATATTAATGAGTTGGCCTGCAGTTAGTGAGTGTGTGTTTAATGGAATCATTCATGTAGTACAAATAAACTTCATAAAGTAACATAGTCCAGTGCAGCTTTAACTCAGAATATACTGAGCCTTTGTTAGGAGAAAACGGAAACTCATCCCATTTTCCCATGGTGTTGTATCACTGAACCTCTCAGCTGTTAGGAAACCAAGACACATTAAGGTGATGATACATGGGACAACTTTTTTGGAGCAATGTAGCCAAGTGATGTTGCTTGGGAACTTTACCAATGAGAATGGGCAACAAATTTCTTTCTGAATACTTTAGATCGACCGTGGTCCTTGTGTCTCTCACTGGCTTGCCCATTGATGGCAACATTGGACAAAAAGTTGCCCACATGTGTATCATCACCTCAAGAGCCATTATCGTGATTGACGAGAACTCTCTCTAGGCTAAGGCAACTGTGTTTATTCAGTTCACTGATCCTGATCCCGTCTTCTTAATCTAATGCTTAACCACACATTTAAACTTGCTGAAAGCAGCTAAAGGCCTTTGAGCAGGTGTGAGATCCTGTGCACTCTCTTAATGTGTATATTTTTGAATAAATGTAATGGGCTCTGAGGTTATTTTGTCTTTCTGGCCACGAGAAGTAAATTCCAGACATAGTGGAGGACTAACTCTAACCCAGTCATGACCTTTAACCCTGATCTCTACCCTTGGAACATGCAACATACATCAACTGTCAGCCTATAGAATAACAGACAAACCGCATTTAAATAAACACCAGAAAACCCCAATGAGCTGAAGAGAGATGAAATAACAGCATACATGTAAAAGTGATTTCCAACTTGCTGCTTTTTCTTACCACATCAATCTAACGGAATTTAAGTTCTATTTTTGTCACCCCAGGCTGTTGATTCTTCACATATTTGGAGTCGCTTGCAGATCTATTCTCAGTATGTGTGTGTGTGTCCGGCTATGTTGTGAGATTTACAGCCTTTTGTGCCCTTTGCTTTGTCATTGCAGCACCAGCAATATGGGGGGCAGAACTGACAGGTGCCACACACACACACACACACTCAAATACACAGTCCAAAAACTGCTTTCACAGAACTCACATGGAAAATGTTACAAAGCAAATGGACCAAATGTCATTTCCATTAGGAAATAAATAAATAAATAATGTTTTAAATAAAGCCAAAGGATTTTTGAAAGGGGATGGTTTATGGTCTAGGTCAATATTAGTATCAATTAATGTACTATGATATAAAAAGATTTTGTCTATCTGTACGACTCAGGTTGATGGTAAAACCTGAAGCCACCTACACTGTGAGAAGACCACCTCAAGGTCACCATGAGGAAAACGGTTCAGCGTTAGGGGATAGAAAATATAATCTCTGCATAAAACAACACGATTCAATGTAAATTCCCACGGTGAAAGAAAAACAAAAGCGTGTTTGATAAAGAGTCTGTCAGCAGAGATCGGTGGGATTGTCCTGCATCTGTTTTCACAAACAGTCACTCTGTAAACAGCTAAGCACTAATAAAGTCTTCCTCAGACTGTGTGTGTAAATACTCTTTCTGTGGGAGTGTGGTGTTGTGCTCATAGTAAACAATACATGGGACCCGGTTAAATGGAGAGCTGCATTCCACAGAGATTCACACCAGGTGCACAGTCAACAGAGGAAAAGAGAGAGAATCATCTCGTTTTAGGAGAGATCAATATCTTTTAGACAGAAAAAGAAACTCTACTGCATCTCTGAGATCTCGAAAGCATCTCAAACTTCCCGTGGCTGATAAAGGCCTGGATAAAGTTTATAAAGCAAAAATAACTGCTGCTGTAGAAACATCACTGATTCTTCTCTGCCTGCCAGTGGAATTTGTTTTTCAACAAGCATAAATGCTAAGGCTTGTTAACTGTAAAACGCTGAGCAAAAGCTAAACCCCCTCTGAGGCTCAGACCTGTCCTGCAAAGGACCCAGAAATCTGTGATTGCCTTTGTCTTTCTGTAACAATGCAGAGATAAAAATCAGGCAAATCAAAGGACAAAAGGAACCGCAGAACAGGTTAGCCTTCTGTCTCTTTCTCCTATAGCTGCTGTTGAATACTAACTATCTGGATTCTTAATCTCTCTATAGCACTGATATCCTGAAAATGTCTTTGATGTGAAAGAATGTTGATGAGAGATCAGAGAAAACATAATCAAGATCACATACACAACTGCTATAAAATTCGGAGCAACATAAATCTACTCCCCCCCAAAAAAATGCACACAAAAATGAAAATATGGTCATTTACAATTAGGTTTCATTTGTTACCATTAGTTAACTACATTAGTTGATGAACTAATTATGAACAATATTCGTCATCCGTCAATAGTCAGCCGAAATCTACAGCAATTATTGATATTAGCTTATGTTAATATAAATATTTACTATGTTTTTAAATACGTAGTTAACACACTGTGTGAACCTGGTGTGAACTAACATGAAAAGTGAATAAATGCTCTAAAAATATGAGACCTACGATAACAGGATTTTAAATTTATGGTGAAAAAATTCCAAATTAGTCTCTTCCACATTACATATTTTTAATAAAATAAATACAAATTTTCATTTTTACAGAAAATGTACAAGTTTTCCCAGAGTGAAAAGCGTGGACTTCATCTTTCTTTTCCTGAATACAATGGAAAAATTCAGTCATTCAACATCATAAAAATAAAGGACACTTACTTTGCTATAAAAATAGTGTCATCAACCTCCATAATCAATACTGAGTGCAGAGAATTTCTGAGGTCAACCACACTAAAACGTTTTGATTTCCATCTCTTGCTGCTTTGTAACTTTGTAAACGTATGTGACCAAAACAGATCCGAACAGATGTGTGATGTGTGAAGTATTACCGCAGTAAAGTCAGTCTTTACCGGCACAGTCCTCCCCTCCCCCCAGTCTCTTTCTCTGAGCTGGAGCTGATGAGTTTTTCTGCGAGCGGTCACTGCTTATCACTCTGGTTTTCCACAGGGTGCCTTGAGGGCCTCACCGCAGGGTTCTTTGTTTACAGCCATTCATTATCTCTTTCACCACCCCATATATTCCTTAACTCCGGCTCTTCTTTCTTCACTTTCATGCCATCCTTACAGCACTTAGAGGACAATCCACCCACTTATGGCTGCAACTTGATCATACACATTCGCCCAGCAATGCACCGTGCCTCTTTGTCTCTGTCGATGAAGACAGTCCATAAGGTGGTTTGTCACTTGCAGACGTATCTCTCAACGGTGCGTTGGCAGGTTTTGCAGGACACGTAACAGCACCAGTGATATTTACACTGGCAGCGTTCCACCAGCACCTCCGTGTAGGCATTATAACCCCGTCCACAACACATGAGTCCACAGCTCTCACTTCCAGTTGCAGTCTTGTTACACTGCCTGCAGAGATGATATTGAGCAAATTATTTACAGGTAATTTACTTTAACCAAATAACTCAAACGGAAGCGTTTGAGCACATCTCTGTTGTGAGAATCAGTATTAAAGGGATAGTTCACCCAAAAATTAAAATTAAGTCATTAACTACTCCCCCCCACATGCTGTACCAACCTTGTAAGACCTTCGTTCATCTTCGAAACACAAATGAAGATATTTTTGATTAAATTTGAGAGCTGGGGGACCACCACATAGGCGCCCTAAGGGATTGAAACTTGACGGCCCATAAAGTCATTGATGAGAGTTCAAGAGATTTCCACGACGCATGCGCGAAAACGGCGTTCTTATTATACTCCTTCTTGTTCAGTTCTCGCGCATGCGTCGTGGAAATCTCTTGAACTCTCGTCAATGACTTTCTGGGCCGTCAAGTTTCAATCCCTTAGGGTGCCTATGTGGTGGTGATCCAGCTCTCAAATTTAATCAAAAATATCTTCATTTGTGTTCCGAAGATGAACGAAGGTCTTACAGGGTTGGTACAGCATGGGGGTGAGTAATAATTAATGACTTAATTTTCATTTTTGGGTGAACTAACCCTTTAATGTCTGTGTGTGTGTGATAATATTTAACCGATTCTATTCATGTGCCTCTTTTCTTTCCGCTGTGATCTGTCCCATCTGTCAGATCAGTAATAATCCCTCATTCATTACAGTGACTGAGAACTGATTATTTTCTCTCAACTCATCAGCAATCAATAATCCAGATATCTCACCTGTCTGTGGTTCCGAGCGACCCCTGCTTGCTGTTCTGCGAGCAGTAATCCGGCGAGCTGACCAGGTAGACGAGTTCATTCTCTCCGACCGGCCTCACCTCCATCTCTCGGGGGACCAGCTGTCGGCGGGTGCCTATCTGACGCGGAATGACCTTAGTGGCCGACAGGTATTTAGACTTGAGGTCGGCAGAGATGCTGTTGATGTCTTGAAGGCCCTTCCAGCAGGTCTTCACAGAACAAGAGCCGGAAACACCGTGACATTTGCACTTCATCTCTAGTGCATCCATGAGTGCCTATACAACAAAACAGACACACAATTAATTAAAACGAAATGGCTAAATGATGCCAGTGACGCCGGTAAGCACGTAATTGAAGTTACCTGTCTTCCCACTGCATTGTTGTGAAGCTGCATGAGCCTGAAGGCCTGTGGTCCCGAGCGGCGGTTCCTCATAGGAGCGTCTGAGAAAGCAGAGCCCATCTGCAGGCCGTAGCGCACATTATCCCCACATCCACCCCAGCGGAAGTCTGGGGCCGCCTGCTCCGATGGCGCTGCTGCGCATGAACAGCTGGGGAGGTCTCCAGAAGCACAGGCACGGGCGATGGAATGACTGACCACTGCAGCGGCCAGAGAGAACACAAACGCAGTTTCGCGGGTCCCTGCAAAGAGACATCACTGTTAGACCACCTGCACTAGCAATCTGAGCTTTGCATAAGGTGTGGACTCTGCAAATGCAAGTTAGTGCTTTTTAATTTTAAATAGCTGAAACCATATCTAAAAGGCAGCGTGGCTCCTGGTCAATACAATGCTGCTGATAAACAAATCCAGATGTAATCACCTTTCGCCAGGTCTGGGGTGAAGTGAGGGGCGCTCTCGATGGATGAGCAGTTCCAGCGCATATCGCTGAAGGCAGCCTGGCACGCGCTCTTGGTGAGTTTGGCCGCGTGCACGATGCTGTGCATAAGCTCGAGGTTACGTTTGCAGAGCTGAAGCTGATCTGGCACGAGCCCGTCCAGGAGTTTACAGTGATGCGTCTGATTCCACCCGACAGAGCTCCCGTTTGCCGTCAAGCCACTGCAAATACAAACACTATATTTGAGCCAGTCTGACGGATAGCTTAGTAGTTAAGTTAGTTATAGGCCTACTAACTTTACAATGAAAACGACTGTTTTCAACAAAAACAACAGTAAACAGTTAACAAAAAATGGGATCACGTTATCCAATTAACCTAAAACCACTTGGTTAACTTTTAATGAACCTAAATTTAAAAGTAATCATTCATTATTCCTATTCATTCTGAATATAACGTAGGCTATTATGTTCTCGAATCAATGTGACATTTAAGGCCTATTTTTTTAAATACCCAGCGACGGCTAAATCTGGAATAAAATAGATGAAAATGTACTTTTTGGTGATATGTCAGATATCATAAAATATTTCATTCATCCCCATGTCTCTTGCCGAATAAAAATAAATAAGTACTTACAGCCATGATATTCCTGTGCATGGATAAATCGCGCTCAAAGACATAACGAAAACTAGAAGACAATTCCTGTATTCTGTCATATCGGTTTTCTGTCGATTAGAAATCCGAATGAAGTCTGAATTGTTGTTTTTCACAGTGGTCAATATGCTCACTGACTGATGGCACTGCTGAAATGTGTCCCAGCCTAAGTGAAGCTCTCTCTCTTTCATAGGTCAGCTATGGGACTCGACCCGCCCCCTTCCTCCCTCCCATGGCGCATGGGCGGTCTCAAGATTCATATGAAAGAAATGCGCGGAGGGATTACCTACTACGGTTAATTTATATAGGAGAAGGGAAAACAACATACTGGAAAAGAACAAAATTAAACACATTGTCTAGTCACGCCAGTTAAATTAGAGTTTACTAAAGTGTTGGCTATCACGCAGTTCAAACTTAATAGGCAAAGTTGTAGGCCTATGTATTTTCTTACCCTCGCAAATCAACAACAAACACAGTGTTTATATTAATGATTTTTTTTTACACTAAGACTTAATTATTTGTTTGTTGTTATTTTCTTTGTGCACAGCATTGTGAGCAAACAACGTTTTAAACGATTTGTCGAGGTAAGGGTAAAAAAGCCATTATAACATCATGTAAAGCTCGCCTTTCCAGGGTGTACGCCTTCCCAAAGGAAACAATTGGGCTTTAGTCTTTTGAAGATTTCTGTCCGAACGGATCAACAACCCGTTCATTTACATTCAAATATGTTTGATTCGGCTTTTCCCCGAAGATAAGCTGGTTTCTTGTTCCTCAAGCCTTACATGCGCAAACAGTTTAAAACAGCAGTGGGTCACTGACTGTAACCAGGCAAAATGCTGCTGAGAGTTAAGGATCCATAATTCTGTTTTATTCCAAACACGTACATTTTCCCTGTCCTACAGTAAATTTCCAAGTTACGGGTGCTAAGGAAGGCACAATATCTGCTTTAGTAATTTAAAAAAAAATGCAAGAAATTTATGTCGTGTACAATAACACTAAAGTACCCATTTCCCGATTATGACATTGCGTGGCGGCTCGTTGGTCTAGGGGTATGATTCTCGCTTAGGGTGCGAGAGGTCCCGGGTTCAAATCCCGGACGAGCCCAATTTTTTTTTTTCAAACCGTTGACTAATTTGATTGTGTTCTCTGGACTAAACACATTTGCAATCGCTAAATAGCGTAAACACAAATCTATTTTAATCGTACGGTCAGCCAATGCTTATTCAGTTGAGCTGAATCTGCCTTACGTGTCGAATGCATGATTCGTGGCGCATGAGAATGGTGGCGCTGAGACAGTCCTGCCGGTGCTAATCACTCTAGTCTGATCATCACATAGGTGTGAATATTCACAGGTCCCAGAACGGTCATATCTCACCGAGACAATCAGAAATAACATATCCCTATGCGAGCAGGCAGCTTGACCACTTCAGGGAAAGGTGCGAAAAGCTTCTCTTTGATTCGACTCGTCCTTGCATTCAATCTGCTGAAATGTGTCGGGTCGAAACAAGAATAGACTACTTATTGATCTCGCAATGGGCCATCAGTGGCCGAAACTGCCAACTGGAATTTTAATTGATGTGTATGCGAGTGCACGAATTAGTCGGGATTAGGATCAAACAAACCAGTTCTCATTTCTTTGAATCTTTAATAGAGCTAGAATAACAAATGCCTCACGGGGCTCCTAATCCGATCAACAAATCCTACCATAATCGGAGGCCTAATCAACAGGTTTTATTGTGTGCTGTCAATAGGCGCCCTCACTGTAAATAAACCAATGTATCCAATATAGCCTGGCCCTGGAATGATCAAGCACACTTGTGTATATTTCTTTGATGTAGTGCAGTGTTCACAGTGCTTTTCCAAGAGAGGCTGAGACATGGAATCTTTCCATTTAATTTGACCTTTAGTTGACCTGTCGAGATCTTAAAATCGCAGCATTTTGAAAAAATTCACATTATGACAAATGTATTCTTGATTCAGAAAGGTTAATTTTTGATAATGATAATCATATTGAAGAGGTCATTGATTATGGAACTGTAAACAAGAGCAACACATAGAAGTGTAATGAATGAGGAACCATGCAACATCGTGTCTGGAAGGTTTTCTCTCCAAAATGCAACCAATGAAGTAGGCTAATTGTACAGAAACCAAAACGATTTCTGAATTTAGCCTACCGTGGACTCGAATTTTAGAAATGAGAACTGTTATAATGTATCTTACCTCGATGGTTTAGAAAATTTTAGAAAATCAGTACTTTAGTGCACATGTTAAGAAGTCATCAACAACACATACAGTGCTAAACAATAACAGCATCATGAATGACATGAGGTGAGAGGCGCAGGACTGAATCTCACCTAGAAAGCGTTCTGTTCACCTGTTTGAAGCAGTCAGGGGGCATGTGAGGACGAGTCTCTGTCTCATGCTCTTTGACTTAATTGTCCTGAGATTTTAGACAAAAGCTTAGCATCAAGAGTGTATCCTGTCTTTTGTATCTGTGTGTGTACAATGTAGACAGTAAGATAGAGGAATGTGGAAGCAGAGGTGACGAAACCTTCATGTTTGTGAATGAATGACATTTTAAGGTGTTGTTAGCCCCGCAGACCACTTAACACTGAATACACACACAGGTAGAAAAGACGTTTCTGCTCTATACACAAATGAAGCCGACATGCGTTCAATGAGATGGAATTGGTTGCTCCACTAAAACTTTTAATAAACACAAACGTACACAGATTTTATCAACGAACACATAAACGTGAACTAAATTGGGCCACAAATATCTCTCTGCATATCAGAATCATGCAAGCAGACACTGATGATTATTAAATTAGCCTATGTGAGTGAAAAATTAATACTTTTTTGACACTAGGGGTCACTGCACACCAACTCCTTCTCTTCAAACAGAGAAAATTAAACCACAGTTTAAAAAAAATCTTTCAAAAACAATTTAATAGGACATAAAAAAACACAAGAGAGCAAAATATCTTATGTACATATATACAGTCCCTGTATAGTTTACAAATATACATTATCTTCAGTAAAATGAAGACACTTGTATCTAAAACACACAGCAGAAACCAAAACTAAAACAAGCTGTTGGGTGGATGTGATGTGTAAGGGAAGAAAGAGAGAGATATAAACACATTTATCAGAACGATCACATTCAGACTCTCCTGCTTTTTGTTTTACATTTGTATGTGGAGACAGAGGGAACATGCAGAGGAAACCTGATGGCAGATTACCAGCTCCCTTTAGAAAGTTCCAGATAATTCCCACGGTTCTTTTTATTCCGAGACCTTTGAACACACAATAAAGCAGTTTGTTCTCACTCTGAGGATCTTGGATCTGATTCCTATTAACTAAACTACTCTCACGATTCAGTCTTCCTCTAAAATCCATTCAGATCCACAATCCTGAGCTGTCAGTCAGGCGCTGGAGAAATCCAAAAGGGCTGATTCATGACTTTATGATTCATGATTTTTATCAGTATATGTGTAAGAGACAGAGACTCAAATGTTCGGAATGGAACAATAGGTTACTGCGTACTGTATACTGTGCAGTATATACTGAATACTGCAACCTACTAAAAACAGTATATAAAACAGATTATGAAAAGCTAAATGTTTCAGTAGTATGCCACATTGTACCTCATCATCACGTTGCATGCTCAATTTGGCGAGTTATTATCTAATGTGTTGTTTAAAAAAAATCATATTTTGTATACAATTTTATATTTGTTTTCAAATCATGAGGATATTTATATTATTTTGCATTGTGGGATACAGTATACAGTAAGTTTGGTGCTCAAGAAACATTTCTTATTCCAAATGTTAAATACAGTTATCAATACCCTGATACTTTTCCCAGGATATTTTGATGAAAGTTCAAAAGAAACGCATTTATTTGAAATCAAAGTCTTTAACTGCCACTTTTGATCAATTAAAAGGTTCCTTTCAGATAAAACTGAATAAAAGAAATGATCGACCCCAAAATTTTGAATGATAGTATGTATGTTAGTTATACTGCATGCGCACTATATATTGCAGCAGAAGTAAGAGTAGTACGTACAACAATAGTCTATTCCGAACACGAGCCAAACTCTTCTAGTTAAAGAGATACTCCACTTTTTTTTTTGGAAATAGGCTCATTTTACAACTCCCCCAGAGTTAAACAGTTGAGTTTGACCATTTTCGAATCCATCCAGCCGATTTTTTTTGATATTTAGAAGAATATCAGTAACCAGACAGTTTCTGGTCTCATTGACTTCCAAAGTATATATTTTTTCCTACTATGGAAGTCAATGAGACCAGAAACTGTCTGGTTACTGATATTCTTCTAAATATCAGAAAATCGGCTGGATGGATTCGAAAACGGTCAAACTCAACTGTTTAACTCTGGGGGAGTGGTAAAATGAGCCTATTTCCAAAAAAAAAGTGGAGTATCCCTTTAACCTTTCAGTGCTACCTTTACAATAGAGGAGCACTTCCGCCCTCTACAGGAGGCATATGGTATTGAATATTCAGGATGTTGATGGAAGAAAACATTATGAAGTATCATTCATTTTTGTGCCTGGACCACTGCCATCATATGCAGACACTCCTACAGGTAATGACAGTTAAAGAACAAAAATAAAATTAAAATAAAACTGTCAGGATTTCATTACTTCATTTAAAAGATGGGTATCTTGACTGTGTGTGTGTGTGTGATAGATCAGCTATAACTGAACATAGATATTCTGTTTTACATACATTGCCAACATCAGTGCTTATTTTAATAGAATAGTACACAGGTTCACTATTTATGTGGTGTTGAATCAAACGAAGTGCGTGTCTGTTACGGCTGAGTAGATTGCTACTGGTGTCATTTCCAGTCACTGCAATCACTGTAGGTTCACTTTCTCCTTGTGCTAATGCTGGATGGGCAGTGTGTGTGCCTCAATCTACTTCCACACACGGCAGCCGTAACAGCGCTGAGTTCATCCGGTCACACTGTTCATTCAGGAAAGCAGTGTGCCCATCTCATTCGTAAATAGACTGTGATTACTTGTGGTGAATGTTGTGCTGTTAATGTTTGAGGACTAACGGAGGGTGTTTCAGTGCTCAGAGAGACTTGAATCTTTTTGTCAGTGTTGCTGATGCTACATAGTCATGTTTGCCTGAAGCTTGACAGATATGTTAGTATATGGCTGGCTGTAGATTGGTGGTGTCCATGGCTCAGTTGAGTTCAGTGGGTGTGGCCTGTGAGCTCATCAGCTCATGCACATTTAAAGAGAGTGATGTGCGTGTCTGATTAGGTGGACCTGCGCGCCGACAGGCTCAGGTGTGTCCAGCTGCCGGGGCGTCCCCTAGACGGATGCTGCCGAGGAAGGTGGTGTGGTTGCTCATGGAGATGGAGGTGTCTTCGTACACCATGCGAATGGAGATCCTCTGGCGTGCTCGCAACAAACACACACCCGCGGTGTAGCAGGTGTTGAACTTGCGCTGGCCGGTCTCGATGCTTCGCGTGCAGCGCAAGAATGGAGTCTTATCTACCATCACTTCATAACTTGCTATGTCCGTGAAATTCAGGTAATATACCTGTTGCCACAGAAAGCAAATTGGGATAATGGTTATTGATTTCTAATGTTAATATTGTTCAATTAAAAATTGTATTTGTATGAAATGTATACTGTATATGTTTGTGTATAAGCAGTAGAGTTAGTCCAGGGACTGTACTCACTTCTACCTGACTATATATAAAGTATGTTCCGTCAAGCAGGACTTCCAGCTCTCCAGAGCGCGAGTGCATTTTAAACACTCTCTGATGGATTGAGATCATTCTCCAATTCTTCAACACACCTTCTGACAAATCTCACAAACAGACACCAGTAAATACTCAATCATCTGTTATGACAGCAGCGACACATACAGTAATTAACACAGATTTCTACTTGCCTTGGTCACATTTTCACTGACCCTTACACCCAAAACACTATACATTTCACATTTATAATTTAATTTTGAATTATTTTTAATTTCTCAGTGTTTGGGGGTAACTAGTTACATGTAACTGTAATCTGTTAGTCACTGAGAAAAATGTGTAATTAAATCACAGTTCCTAATGTATATACATCTGAATATATACTGTAAAAAGCTAGGATATGTTGAATAATATCAATTTGTTGATTTGACTGTTTCTGGTGTGCGCTATACTTCCTGCCATTTAAAGGCTGTTTAGCAAAGCGATTCTACTGTAAAGCTTTTGATTGATTTTCTTGATTGAATTTGCATATCACCACGTCAGCCAATTACATCAATCCACATTGCCACTGAAAGGTTTCTGCTACAACCTGTCTGAGAGTTGCCACCATGGCGAGTGATAAAAACGCTTTTCCGGTGCTGGAAATTAAAAAAAATAATTTCATTCAGAAATCTCTATAAAGGAAAGTCTGGCGGTAATCAGCGTTAAATACTGCGGGTACAGGGTTAACCCTGCCTGTTTTAAATGTTTGAAAATGATTAACAGTAGAAAACATTCGTTAGAAATTTAGAAATGTAATCAGTTACATTACTTTAATAAAGTCATTGAAATAGTTACACTAATTATTAGATTTTAAATAGGGTAACTTGGGGTAATCTGTAAACTATTACATTTCAAAGTAACCTTCCCAACACTGGTTTTTCAGAATAATTTAATTATAATTTAATATTATTTCTCACACACTCACAATATTATTATAATTTAAAATAACTGTTTTCTTATATAAACATTTTGTTAATATCAAGGTTGAAAACCGTTGTGCTGCTTAATATTTTTCTGGACAATATAACAAATATAAAGTTAAAAGACAGTATTTACTTCAAACATTATAAATGTCTTTACATACACTTTTGATCAATTTAAGAATAAATCTATTAATTTCTTACAACAACAACAAATTACTGACTACAAAAAATTTAAACAATAGTGCATTATTTTGTCCCATCAAATGTTGCTTTTTTTTTTTTATGAAGGCCAGGCGGCCATCCTTATATTTGAACCCTTCGTACAGCCTATAACAAAAAAATGTCATGCCAACACACGATATCAATAAGCATTTTCAAGAATATGGATGTAGGTGTGTATGCAAGGGACCATTATTTAACTCTTACCTTCTTTCACTTGGATAGTGGTTTCCTGACCTTGAAGATGCACCACAGCTGGCTACAGAAACATCACAAATTCAAAAGCACATTTTATGTACAGTCTTACACATGCTCATTATCATTCATGATCAACACATCCAAACTCTTTTACTGAGAGAAAGTAGCATGGAGAGATGGAAGTCAGGACATCGCTCATACCTGAGTCTCTCTGTGCTTGGCTTTATCGGCGCCACCTGTTGACACAAATGGGAAAAGTCTACTAAATGAAAAATTATTTACAATACTTTATTTGAATCATGCAATCATAATATGCGAAACAATCATGAATTAACTGTAATTGTGGGCACTGCTTATGTCATCTGTCTTGCACTATGATCTGATCACACCAAGATTGAATGAATCTTTGCAGCAACAAGCCTTCCCAATGTTGTGTTGCATCTCTCTTGATGTGAACAGCCCTTTAAACGATCAGCTTTCTGTGACTGCTTGTAGAGGCAAGTGTCTGTGTTAACCTGAAGGTCCCTGTGGTCCAGGTGGACCTTGTGGTCCAGGTGGCCCTGCGGGTCCAGGAGGGCCAGGTGGGCCAGATGGACCCATTGCGTTACTCCCTGGGATCCCCGGGATGCCCGGAATTCCAGGTGGACCTTGTGGACCAGGCGGGCCTGGAGGTCCAGGAGCACCAGGGGGCCCTTTCTTGCCTAAATAGAGAGAGGATTAAGACATTTTTTTTTAAGAGAGGCACCAATTTACCATTTTACCATTTTTAATGACAGTCTAACATAAAGTCAAAGAGAAACAAACAAACCACCTCAAAACTGCCACTCAATTTTCAAATAACAGTCAAAATGAAATTACCCTTTTTCCGATCTCCTTTCCTTTTTCCGTTATTTTCTGCAAAAGGGATAAGTGATGATCAGTTAGAAATGTATAACACATACACGCACACAGAAAGAGAGAGAGAGATAGAGAGAGAAACAATTATCATTAGGCTATATAGCCAGTAGCTTACAAAATTCAGCAAATGATATAACAATGGCCATAAAACATTAGATTAGCTCAATATTAAAATATGATTGCTTTATTTTAGTGAGTGAGAGAACATCCCAAAACTACTCTTTAATATGAAGATTAACTAATGATCAAACAATAAAATGTTTCGATTAGTCGCTTGACCTTTTACAAATAGCTATTCTTTTCACTATACATCTAGCATTTCATTTCTGCATTGGCAATTGAAGCAACATACCCAACAGTCAAACCATATCTAGTAAGTGTGTTTGTGCGTGTGTGAATGTGTAACAAATCGAGCACATCTGTATTAAACAAGTCTGACAAAATCCAGGGTTTTAAAGTTTAAAGTCTTACACACACACACACACACTCAGGAGACAGATCTGTGTTCCTAAGGCCTGAGGTCACTCCTGTGTTTGTGTTGGCTAGTATTCAGGGGTCTTTTTTTGCAATAAAACTACTTCAGCTCATTTGTAAATGACTGCTGCTTTAAGTGTGTTATCTGGTGGGCTTTGCACGCAATATCTCTTTTTCTCAAAACACAGAATATCGAAAGTGAAGAGAAACAACTTGCTGGCTTTAATCTTTTCCTGTAATCTTCCTTTTTTTCCTCATTATATGAAAAACAACAGAAGGGGAGGGGGAGCTTAAGTTGGAAGAAAGACCACCAAGCACATATGTAATCAAACATGCACAACAAAAACCAAACATGACACACGTAATAAGCATGCAAAGAACTTGATCTGCAGAAGTCTCTGTGTTCTTTAAAAAACAATCAGAAATGAACTCAGCAGATAGCAATTTCATGCGCAAACCTTGCATCTTATTCACATACCACCCGAAATTCAGTTCCAGCCGCAATTTCCAGGTGCAATAAACACGACATAAGCAGATGTTTTAAACTTCAAACAGTTAAGAATTAAATCGGGTAAAGCCAGCCCGTTCTCATTCCAAGACGTCATACAACTGGCGCTTTTGACCATACGTCAACATCTGACGTTTTAGGGTACCTTTTAACGTCAGTTAGATGACGCTATCTAATCCTAACCCTACCCCAGACCTAAACCTACCCGCGTCATCTAACGGACGCTATGACGATCGTCATCTAACTGACGTTAAAGGGTACCCTAAAACGGCGGATGTTGACGTATGGTCAAAAGCGTCAGTTAGATGACGTCTTGGGATGAGAATGTGTTGTTAAAGCATACAATTTATATAAAAATTGATGTTTTTGTACATTTCTAGTGATCATGGGAGTTCTGTTTTTTTGCCAACCATATACTTTTTTACTTAAGTATATTAGAGTTGTCAGGTTTTAAAAGCTTAAGATAAAATAAACATACAAATAAATTGAATTTCGCCCTCACAAAATATTCTAGTTACCCTCAGTTTGTTTTTGCAAAATCTTTGTTATTATCTACATAATTCTTCTTACTACTACTCGAAAAAATCTCTTCATCAGAAACTGTTTAAATGAAAAGACTACCAGATGTAATGTTTGTTTGACTGAGTGAATGCACTGCCTCTGGTGGTGAGGGTGAGTTTCAGAGAAGCGCCGGGAAAATGTACCATTTTGTTTTTGCAACTTTTGACTAATTTTACACATAAATATAGAAGCCACGGAGATAAGTATTTTAATCATATGATATGCAATATAGTAAATGCTTTTTAATGTTGAAAAACAAATTTGTCTGCATGTGTGCGCGAGCTCATGTTTGCACGTTCGTCAAAAGAATTTCAAAGGGGGGTTACTTGACAGTGGGTATGTCTGTGTTTGTTTTAAATAGGAGAATAAAAAAAAACGAGTGTTAAAAGTCTTTAATGAATGGAACAAATTAGCATCAAAGACAGACAATATTGGAACCATATTTCACACCAAACATGCAGCTGCACACACAAACACACCGAACACCAGCTGTACATTCACAAAGCGCATGTTTATGAGGCTACAAAGTGAGTGAGTTTGTGTATGTCCATGTGCAAGTGCTTTGACCCATGAATCTGAGAAGTGGGAAGAAATAAGTGTGACTTGATCACAAGAATGGATTAGAAATGGCTTCCTTATTAAATAATCATGCATGTAGACACAGATGCCTTCACACAGTTTTGGCACTAGAAACTCATGCCTTAATACTAATAACTAACAGTCGGATGGTTTGGTTTTTGGTTTTAATACTAAAATCTAATCAGTTCAAATTTGTTGTCAACATTTCATGGAAATTTAGTGGAACAGAATTAGAACTAAGCCGTAAAAAAAATCAACTTTAACATGAGTTATGTGTGTGCACGCTCTTCAAAATGAGCTCACGGCGATGAGTGAGGTCTAGTTTCAAACACGCACACTGACTGAGCTGTATGCAATATCCTATATGTCTACATAACAGTATGTTAGAGATTTATTGCTCAGCATATTACGGGCATTGTTTCCTGAGGTCATCTGCGGCACACTTGCGTGTGCCATTCTACTAGTTAGCGTAAGGCAATTTAATGTGCAATTCAGTGTTAATTTAGTTGACAAAAAGGTCAAAGCTGACATCAACAACATTGTCACTGGCGAAAATGAAACAATAACTAAATTAAAACCAGTTTTTGACGACAAAAACCCTAACAAAGTTAATGTTAATCATGGGCGATCTGTGAATTTTTAAAAATCCTACAATTAATTCCTTTGCATGGTAGGGAGGTTAAAGGAGCACATTTGAATGGCAAAGTACCTTATGGTTTAATATCGCTTGTTGGATGTCTTATAAAATACTTAAAAATGTCAAATGTTTTAAATGTCACATGTCAAAAGAAAAACAGAAATATGAATAAATTCCATGTCAAGGAAAACAAGACCATTTATAAACCATGTCGAGCGACAATTGCCAATAAAACAAAGAAATGTAAAATACAATACTGCACCAGGACTGAACCAGGCCCGGGACAGCACGTGTTTTGCTCATTTAATCTATAAAGCAATTTTAAGCTATTCAAGTGCAAGAAGACGTGAAAGAGAACTCATGGTGCGTTCTATTATACCCAACGAACCGACTCGGACCTCGGATTTGACGTCACGTCCACGTTTCAAGCGTTCTATTATGTTTTGCTTGTCCGAGTCGGAGAAAGCTGTTGTAATGGTAGCACTGGCCGAGTACCAGGCACTTACATTAAAATAAACATATTATGACTACACCTCATCAAAACGCAGCCATTTGAACTTGAAAATGTTCACTTTATTTAAAGTTTTTCATGTTAATCTTCTGTTAGCAACGCTAGCAACGTTAGTAATTGCACTCACAACAACCGATTGCCATACCTACAGGGGACGCAGTAATACGAGTGCTTATAATCGTCATTTAAAATACCAAAGCGTTTCAAAAACAATGAATACAATTCATTCTTACAAGTCGGGCGCAGCCATTTTGAATTCCGAAACGGAATTCTTGCTCGGTGTCCTCACGGTTGTCCGACGTCCGAGAGGAGAAATCCGAGGAAAGGGGGCGTGTTGCTAGGCAACGTCTGTCGTCCGTTTCGGATCTCCGAGACGGATGAATAATAGAACGCACCATCAGTTCGGGACGATTTACTGTGTGCTCACACGAAGCGCCTCTTAGACAGTGTGCGGGTGCGGAATTCAGATTGTGCTTGAAAGGACAAACACACACCCAGCCCCAGATGAAGCTTTACTGTTACTGAACTGCTGTGCGGAGTTAGCGGGTGGGGCATAGCACAGGAGCTGGACGACACCAGTGGAGCCGGCGGATCCAGGGGACTGGGCTGGACGGAACCAGCAAAGGAGATGTGACCAGTAAGTCAGGTGGAAACTTTAGAGGAGGAAGGTCTCAGGATGTGAACAGAGCATCCAGACAGGCGGACGAGACCGGCAGTGATGTCGTTGAATCGAGGGTGGGGACTCGGGAGGGAAATGGATACGCAGACCACAGGTCGATAATGCAGTGGCTCGCTCCTGGCTCTGGGATGGATCGGATAGCACACCTCGACTCCGGGATGGCCCAGGAGGTCGGCTGAAGCGAGTGGTCTGAGGTTGGCTTGGGCTCCTTTCCTGTCTCGCAGCAACACCTCACAGAGGAGGAGGAGGAGATGCAGTGCTGGTAAGTCCAATTCTTTTTGTCTTTTTAAGGTCGGTTATTTTGTTACGTGTTGTAAGCACATAACACACACAAACTAGGAATATTTTAAACAGTCTTTAAATGACGAATGCAGGAAATCATTAGAAGAACTGAAGGAAAAAACACATTACATGCAGGTACTGAATGTAACAGAGGACTGAACAGAACAGGGAATATATGCAGGAGATAACAATGAACTAAATAAGACACCGATGATAATTACAAGTAACTAGTGAAACTAAACAGAGCAGGAAAACAGGAACTAAGGGAAACAAAACAGAACATCAAAATCCAAGTCCATAACCGTGACACTTACTGTGTTTTTGACCCAGCACAACAAGAGTAAAGCCAATTTTGCTATTCTCAATACCAGTTGAAACACAATAATTGCCTTTTGTGTTTACATTGATAGCTTGCCAAGATGGGCAATTTTGACCAAAAAGTGCATTTGACTGTTCACACGCGGTCACATTACCACAAGGTAATATACCACAACTGTCTAGTGCTGAAATGGAGCAGTTCATGACAGTTTATGGGGGTAAAACAATACCCAACTCCTCCCAGACATCTTTTTTTTGTAATAGGACAATTACAGTAAGTGTTGCCTGCTGACCTCTGCACCACAGAAGCCTAAATGATGTGCAAGGGACCCTAATTGAATTTGTAGGCTGTTATCTCAGAAAAGATCTCAGGCAAAAAGTGACAGTCATAGTCAAGCTCTTTTAAGCCAGCTAACAATAATTATAATAATGTACAATATATAATTACAGTATAATTAAATTATATTATTATTAGTGTCTTCTGATAATACTAATGATTAATATAACAATTGATATTATTCTTGTCATTCTACCAATGTGAAATATAAAGCTATATCACATCATTTATAATACAATTTCTTCCTGGTCCACATTACACATTCATTTAAAAAGAAGTACATCTTGTTAGTTAACATTAAACTGCTTTATATCATATAATGTATATCATAACCTTGCTCTCCAGACATCTGCTTTGGTCATGATGGCATTTGTGTGTATGCATGTTATCGGTGTTGTGTCGGTATTTACTTTGGCACATGACGCACACAGGTGCAAAAGCTGAAACAGTAGAACTCCCGATTAGAGCCAGTCACTGCACAGCCATAATCAAAGCCAAAACCACCTGCCAATCAAACCGCTGCCAACTGGAGCCAATCATGGCAGTGGAAAGCGGAGTAGGTAACCAAAGCTGGAGTCGGCAAATGAGAAAGGGAGAGAGAGAGAGAGAGAGAGAGAGAGAGAGGTGCAATATCGCTTTGTTAGAAGCTAGTAGAATGGAAAATGGAGAGGGATTTCACATATAAACTACTGGTGTGCACAGCATAGCCCAATAATGAGTAAGATGGAAGGAATGAACAAGGGAGAGAGAGAGAGAGAGAGAGTGAGAGGTAGCATGATCAAATGAAGGAAATGCATCTCGTTCTGAACTCTAAACCACATCAAAGAGAAACGCTGGCAATCTCACAGGCTTTATACTTTTTACCCCCCCCACATCCCCCCCCCACACACACACACTTAATATAAGCTCTGAATTTCATAAATACCAACAAAAGTTTTTTTTTACCTGAACGTTTGGTACGATGAATGACTCTCTCCAGCCCTCTTGTGTGCTCATCCCTCCATCTGCTCTGTGAAGATGAAGGAATACATTTGTCTTTTTCTCTCTTTTTTAAATACAGTGCAGAAGAATAAAATTAATTCATGGAGCCATTTCAAAGCGTTTTGCATTTTAACTCCAGCTTGAGTTTGAGCCAAGACATGATCAATGAAACTAATCCACTTCTTCATAAAACAAATGTCACCATGCAAATTAAACTACACACGCACACCTCTGCTAAAAAGACAACACATAATAATGAATAATGTGTGTGTGTGTGTGTGTGTGTGTGTTGAGAAACCCTGTGGATTTACAGCAGTAAGACATTCCATTTGTATGATCTAGCACACAAACACACACACAAAATCACATAAACATAATGAATTATTTAGAAAGGAAATACTTTTCTTATCATTATCTCACATATGACCAGAGTAATAGCTCAGAACTATTACTCTGGCCAAATGAGATAATGGTAAGAAATCCTTTCACGCACACTCACACACTATCATCCTATATTCAGGGATAACTATCAGGTCAGGATACTTCAGGTCAGTCTGGAGTTCCCATGTATGTTTAGACAGTGAATGAAAGGTTGAGAGAAGAGAAACTCTGGGTCAGTTGCGGTAGCACATATCTGTGTCAGTAAGACAGAGAACATAACCCTGTCGTGCTTCACAGTAGAGTCATGTTACAAGACCTAGACTGCCATTGTCATCTTCATTGGAGTATTGTTGAAGGGAAAGGAGTCTGAATTCACACACACACACACACACAGACTCATTCAGCAGGGTTAGCGGGGTCATCCAGCTGTGTCTGGGTAAAATTTGTGTTATTTATGTGATTAGAGAAGCCACTAACTCACAAAGTTCAGCCCCAGAGTGCATCGGGTGTCATGTGTATTCACGTATCCATCTAAAACACTGATGTGCGAGCATGAACATGAGTTTGAGTGCATTTTACCAGTAAGATGACACTTTTAGATCTGTAAACATCTTTCTGTGTTTTTTTAATCCACTGTGTGTTTGAAATCAGACACTGTATACCTGTCTTCCTGCCAGAGGATGTTCCAGGCTTTGGACTTGATGTTCTGGCTCAGAGTCTCTATGTGTGTGTGTGTGTGTGTGTGTGTGTGAGAGTGAGTGAGGGAGAGACAGAGAGGATTGAAAACATTTCTCCAAGCTTAAAATGATCTGCTTATTTACATTTAAGATCAGAAACAAAAGAAAGAGTATGCAGGTTTAATTACATGTACTTCAGGGACCAAACGGACCCTAGAAGTTAGCCAAATCTGACAAAGCCGGCCTTTGGGGACATCCAAGTCGCCATCCCAACTAAATGGGATTTAAATAATGTGTTTCTAATATTAAACATGCAAAATGTTTTCTTTTAGGCGTATGGTTTGGGTTAGTGTGCAGCAATTATAATTAGCTTTAAATATAAACAATAGAAGTCCATGATATGTCCTCATTTAGCAAGACGTGTGTGTGTGTGTGACAAATAGATTTGTGCAGTCTAGACCTTGTAACTCGAGTCTAGTGCGAGACATCTCATCTGTCTCTTTTATACACACACACACACACACACACACACAAAATGAAACATTGTACCCTTTTTAACTGCACACCAATCTCTTTCTCTCTTTAACGTAATTACAAACTTTGTCTTACTGCATTATCATGAGAGATGCACAGTGGTATTATTTATAAGGTAACACTTTACAAAAAGTTGTTCACATTATTTAAATGTAAATTTTTTTTACAAATCTTACAGGAAAGACATTTATAATATTACAAAAAAAGCTGTTCTTTTGAACTTTTTACCCATTATATAATCCAGTAACATTCAAAACATGCATCACAGCTTCCACAAAAATACGATTTTCAACACTGATCAAAGAAAGGTTTCTTCAGCACCAAACTATCATATTAGAATGATTTCTGAAGGATCATGTGACACTGAAGACTGGAGTAATGATGCTGACATTACAGGAATACAACTACATTTGAAGAGTTCAGATGCAAAAGCCTCTAAATGCCATTTGAAATTTTCTTCTTTAATGATGATTTTTATCAAACTCGTATATCTAAGTTCAGTAATTTCACTTAAAAGGCAATGATAATTACCTATTACTTGTTATTTAAGTGAAATTACTGAACTTAAATATACAAGTTTTATAAAAATCATCATTAAAGAAGAAAATTTCAAATGGCATTTAGAGGCTTTTGCATCTGAACTCTTCATTTTAAAATATATTACAATAGAAACCAGTTATTTTAAATTTCACACTATTACTGTTTTTACAGTACTTCTTTCAAAAACATAAAAAACTAAATCTTACCGACTACAATTTTTTGAGTGGTAGTGTACCAAATACATGAACTAATATGAACGAATTGAACTTTATTGTAAAGTGTTACCAAAAAAACACACTAGAGGACACAATAGAGAGATTTGTCTTTTCGACCACCCACAAACCTGATTGGTCAAATGCTCCATCAAGCTAAAATTGCTTCCCTCAAACGTGTGTCCGCATGTGTGTACATTTCTTTGTGCTTGTAAAACACGAGATTGTGAACAGATAAACGCTGCTGTCTGATGAATACGTGCATGTGATTAGTTTGTCAGTTGTCACCGAGGACAGATAAACTCACACCCTCATACATACACACATGTAGACTCACACATACACATGTGTTGCTCTGTAACAATATTTATAGTAAGGGTACACCTAATTTATTTCTGTTTGAATTGTGTGACATTGCGTGTTGAAGAAGTTGTGTATGTGTGTGGTCTGAGCTAACGGTAGCATCTATTCCACTCATACTTATTTTGACATTTTCCATTCTTTCCGCTGACAGCCAGAGAAAAACGACCTTTTTAATCAGTCTGACCACACACACATACTCGCAACACAAACACAGCACAACAAAAGAAAGCGTGTGTATATCACATTAATACACTGCACTTTATTTACATTTTTCTTGTTTTCCTGAAACACTAGGGGCAATTTTTTTTCTTCCAAAAACGTTCCCTCTACGCAAACAGTTTTAACCTGTTGTTGACCTGTTCTGACAATCTTCACATTTAAACACTTCTCACAATGTAATTAGGGCTTCTTGTTCTGTTATTTGTCTCTTAGCCCCAGCTGGTCACTTATCACTTGATTATTAACTGGGTCCAAAATGCTACATGTTTGCATCATCAACGTGACTACCATCGCTACAGAACTCAGGATTAAAGCACAGCGTTAAATATTGGATTTGATTCTGATTCCCAAGCATTCAATTTGATTTAAACTGGGCATATTTTAGATGTATTGTCAATTTTGCTTGTATTCCGAAAAATCTTATTCTGTAAATTGGTACATTACAAAAATTAACATTTATTCAAATATAGTAAGTAAGTAAGTAAGCAAGTAAGTAAACTTTATTTATATAGCACTTTTCACAGACATGAAGGGTCACAAAGTGCTTTACAGTAAAAATAAAATAAAAATAATAATAAAAGAAATAATCAACTAAAAACTGCTCTGTAGTAGATATCGACTTATAATAATTTCTTGTGCAAAACTATAATTGTTGTTCTGTCAGGTCCATTAAGTCAAGAACATACGTGACAATGAATGATTAGGAAATTGTATTGAATAAATTGCAATTCAAGTTGATAATTCAAATTTGGCGGTATTCGGGGAGCCCATTGACCTTTCATGAAATAGCAGAGAGTCAGAGGACAGCAGCAGCATTAGGGAACGCACACAGTTTAGTACTGGGAGAGCAGAACTATCCCCCATATGAACAGAGCAGCAACGATGACAGAAAAGCAAATGCCACGTTAAAGGGATACTCCACTTTTGTTGGAAATACGCTCATTTTACAACTCCCCCAGAGTTAATCTGTTGAGTTTTACCTTTTTTGAATCCATTCAGCCGATCTCCGGTTCTGGCGGTACCACTTTTAGCATAGCTTAGCATACATCATTGAAGTGCACAAGACCATTAGCATTTCTCCCAAAAAAGTTACCAAAATGTTTCAATATTTTTCCTATTTAGAACTTGACTCCTCTATAGTTACAACGTGCACTAAGACAGACGGAAAATGTAAAGTAGTGATTTTCTAGGCTGATATGCAGGGAACTATACTCTCATTCCTGCATAATAATCAGGAAACTTTACTGCCGTACCATGAGTGCAGCAGGCGCGATGACTACACAAACTTAGTCCCGGTCACGTTGGAATCTGGGCACTTTTTTCAGGCGCTGCGTCATAACATTACGCCTGCTGCACACATGGTGCGACAGTGAAGTTTCCTGATTATTACGCAAGAATGAGAGCATAGTTCCTAGTCATATCAGCCTAGAAAATCGCAACTTTACATTTTCCGTCTGTCTTAGTGCACGATGTAACTAAAGAAGAGTCAAGTTTTAAATAGGAAAAATATCTAAACATTTTGGTAACTTTTTCGGGAGAAATGCTAATGGTCTTGTGCACTTCAATGATGTATGCTAAGCTATGCTAAAAGTGGTACCGCCAGAACCGGAGATCGGCTGAATGGATTCAAAAAAGGTAAAACTCAACAGTTTAATGCTGCGTTCACGTGCCATGGAAAATAGGATGTTTTCCACTCGTGAACTGGTATTTACCAGTGTGTTGCGTTCAAGTGCTTTTGTTGTCGTAATGAGGTGGGTCGCAGAGAGCGAGCAGTGAGCAGTTAGGAGCAAACTGAATCTGCTTAAATAGGGCACCCTGATTTGAGCGTAGTCTTTAGTAGCGAGGTGAGATGAACAGCAGATGCAGATCAGCTGAGCAGATCGCTGATGAGGCCGTGTTGTTGGCCGATAGCAGAATACTTGGCCTGCCAGAACTGACGCTGACGCTCAATTTGTTTTCACGGGTGGTTGCAGGAAGCCAGATGAAAATGAATAATAAAGTTCCAATACAAAGTTTAATGAGGATAATAAAAATAATAATCAGACAGGCAGGGGCAACACACTAAATGTAACGTAGACCGAACACTGAAGGAGTGTGAGGGA